GGACAGACTGGCTCGACAATGGCCTGGATAACGGAAGAGCAGATCCAGCAGGTAAGCGAGGAGCGCCAGGAGCCGTCGCTTGCCGCGAGCGGTGTAGGTACCGCCGGAGAGGGCTGTAGTCCCGAGCAGCGACCAGATCACACTTAGCCAGCACTGGTGTCTCGCGCGGATTGGCTTTGGCAACATTGTTACAATCTTCTGTGCGGTCTGAGCTCCTCACTGTGACAACACCTGGCTCAGGAATGGGGGTTTGTACCTATTAGCCTTGAAGTAGAAATCTGCCTGTGAGAGAATAGCATGCTGGGTTTTATATAAGGGGCAACAGTTCAGGAAGGCAGGGTCTAGAGCAGGGGTGTCCAAACTTTTTTCAAAGAGGGCCAGATTTGATGAAGTGAACATGCGTGAGGGCCGACCATTTTGCCTGACATTCTTTGAACCATTAAAATTAAATGCAAATTAACTATTTTATGCAAAGTTTATTGCAAACGGCATACTTTTCATTTCGTCACATGGATGACAAATCTAAACAGGTGTTAAATCACTCTGCCTTTCATATCTGAAGGCCAGATGAAAAAAAAATCCAGGAAGCTGAAATATATGTCAGGAACATTGTAAAGTACATTACATATTATTGGTAATAAAGGTTGTCTGTCAACTTTTAAGTTCAAAAAATATGAACAGGAACATAACACCAAGTATACATGTTGTGTCCAAATATATTTATAACTGATTTAGACCAACTGACATTAACTGAGATTTTACAATGTATTCATCTCAATACATATGGATTCGTTGGGGGCCATAAAAGATAGATATTGCCATATTACCCGGGGGCCGTATTAAACCGGAACACGGGCCGCAATTGGCCCACGGGCCGGACTTTGGACATGCCTGGTCTAGTGAATTTCATTTTGCAAGAGATTGATCACCGCCCCGAGAAGTCAGCACACATTCTCAGTTAAGTTTAGCACTACGTTTTCCAACCTCTCGTTAATCTTGTTCTAATCCTAAAACAGAACAAAAGCTCGTTCATTCTGGTAAAGTTTTTGTGTGTAGCAGTTACATAACATTCTCTTTCCCAAAGGAGGCGATTAAGCCAATAGGTCAGAGACACATGCAAATATCAGGCGTTCCATAGAGCCTGCTGCACCTAGCAGTTGTAATCGTTTTTATTTATTTTTATTTTTAAAGGAGCAAGAAAACAACTATCCATTAAAAATGATTAAAATGAATTTTGTGGGATGATAAAGGCTGGTTTGTGTGGGACTTGAGGGTTAGGCAATAACAGAGATGCAGGTTAAAAGCAGTCCACTATACAAAATACAGTGTATGAAAAATGCACCTTGCTCAATTCCAGTGGTCACCAACCAGTAGGTCAGGATCTACCAGTAGATCTTGGAGCCTCTGACAGGTGATCTGACAATTGCTTCAGTTATTCTTCCATCCACTATCATGCCCTTTGCCTTGGAGCTGCCCCCCAGAGAGCCTCCTGCTTGCTGTGCAGGGTTTGGGAGGGAGAAGGAGGGGGTGCTGATGTCAGGGTATCCCTCCTCCCCTCACTTCTGTACCCTGTCTCCACACAGAGAGAAGGGGATGGAGGGAGCTCTGCAATGCAAATCTCTGTCACTCTCACAAACACAGTGGCTACGTCTACACTGGCAGCTTCTTACACAAGAACTGTTTTGCGGAAGAGTTCTTGCGCAAAAAGTCTTCCACAAGAGCGTGTCCACACTGGCATGTGCTTTTGCGCAAGAACATCCATGGCAGTGTGGACGCTTTCTTGAGCAAGAAAGCTCTGATGGCCATTTTAACCATAGAGGTTTCTTGCACAAGAAATTCATGTTGCCTGTCTACACTGCCCTCTTGTGGAAGAGCTCTTGTGCAAGAGGGCTTATACCTCGTGGGGAGAGGAATAACTCTTCCGGAAGAAGCCCTGTTTTACCATGCTCTACTGTAAATGTACTTGCACAAGAATGCGCGTGCAGCATACACAGCAGGCAAGCTGCCAGTGTAGACATAGCCACACTGTCCTTCCCTCTCATCTCTTGACCCAACACATACAGGGGGGGAGGGGTCGTTACTACATTTACTGCTTGCAAAGTGGGTTATTTTTCGTTTTTGACTAGTCTGTGCATTTCACAACTTTCATTTCTCTTTTACGCTTAAATGTAATGCTTTGAGTAGTGAGTTCTAAGATGCCCAACCTGTCATGTCTGGAGTAATTATCCTTATGGCCAGGGCTCGACAAATGCACTTGCCTGCTTGCCTGTGGCGAGTAGATTTTTCCAGCTGGTGAGTGCGGGGGCGGACTGGCCCGGTGGGCTGTTGTAATGGGCTGGCCGAAGCCTGCACTACGGGCGGCGCGGCCCCATCCAATCCACCAGCTGGCAGAGGAGTAGAGCGCTACTGGGGAGGGGGAACTGCGGCGATTCTCAGTGCCGGGCTGCCTGCGTGCCAGGGGGCGGGACGCTGGCAGATGCCAGGATGCTGGCGTGACATGGCCCCGCTGATTTTAAAGGGCCACGGCAGCTCGGCTCTAGCTGCGTGGCCCCAGGAGCTGGCTGCTGTGCAGCCAGGCCCTG